ACAGGAAGATGGACTCAATTGTAGATATTGACAGGTTTCATAGAAATATGTTTTATTATATTGTGACTAATAACCTCTGACTAATAACCTAATATGGTCTTGCGAAGAAATTCATTTTAATATAAGGTTTTACTGCATTAACTGCCAGTAGGTTATTAATTTGTACAATAGACCGTGGCATATTGTATTGCTGACATAACTCCGAAAATATAATTTATTTACTTGATCGTGTTGAGTTTTGATGCTCTCACTGCATCGTAAGGATAAGTGCGACTATTGTACCTAATCTGTACGAAATTACTCTCTACATAACTAGATTCATTTTTGTGAAAGGCTATTTTTGTTAAATTATGATTTTTGGCTATGATGTTTGGTTTTGCAGTTAGTTGAAATACAATTTAATTTTTCACACACGTTTTCTAAGCTTCTAAGCGTTTTATCATTTCTAGAACGAAACATTTTATAAAACACCAAAGTGACTATTTTACACCGCATGGCCTCCCTACACTAAAATACGAATAAAACAATAGGGCAAAATATCATTAAAGCAATTGTCGTTAATGTGTGTCTTATACACAAGGAATTAAAATATAAATATATTCATGCTTATTTGGACGTCAAATATCATGCGGTATTAAACTTTATCGATAATTTGACGGCCACATATTATAGAAATATAACTAAATTCAAAAATATGGACGTCAAATATCATTCAGTATGAATGTTTTAGGATTTTCGGACGTCCATATTATTATGTGTACACAGGTAGTAATTTAAAGTTGAAATTTTGGCGCACGCCGTGCCCCAAAAACCGCTACAAACGGCAATATTTATCAAAAAAGAAGTAAGAAACGTTTTCTAAGCGTTTTATCGTTTCTAGAATGGAGCATTTTATGAAACACCAAAGTGGCTATTTCATACCGCATAGGCTCCCTACACTAAAATAAAAATAAAACAATAGCGAAAAAGTCACTAAAGTAATGATCATTAATGTGTGTCTTATACACAAGAAATTAAAATATATGTAAATATATACATGGTTATAGGACGTCAAATATCGTGCGGTATGAAACTTTGCCGATAATCTGACGTCCACATATAGAAATATAACAAAATTGAGAAATATGGACGTCAAATATTAATCAGTATGATTGTTTTAGGATATTCGGACGACCATATTAATTATTATATGTAGCTAAATCTAAGGAAACGAAAACAAATTAGAAAGTAAATTATCTACTAGCACTGAGTACAGTATAAACCGACAAAAATACCACAATATGCCTTGAGCACTAAATAAATAGTCAACATAAATAAATAGTAAAATGCAATTATCGACAATAACTTTGGACATCGGATATCAAAGAAGTGGACGTCAAATAAAACTTGAGTGTGAATATTTTAGGATATTCTTACGTCCGTATATGGGTAAGTACTCCGTTCAATGTCCATGACAAGTACATTAATCAACTTACACAAGTTTATTTACCTAAGTTACTAAATATAACCAAGGAAACTTAAATGCAAGCAAGCATAAGCGTGGAAAGTTCTCAATGTGCGTAGGTCACAATACGGACGCCAATTAGAGCACGATATGCATGTTTTTAGTAATATAGCGTCCAATATTTCTAACAACAAACACAAACAAATTGTATTTCAACTAACTGCAAAACCAAACATAATATCATAATTTAACAAAAATAGCCTTTCACAAAAATGAATCTAGTTAAGTAGAGAGTAATTTTGTACAGGTTAGGTAAACAGTTCGCACGATAGTGATCATAAAAAGTAAACTCGCAGTGAGAGCACCAAAACTCAATATGATCAAGTAAATGAATTATATTTTCGAAGTTATTCATGTCAGCAACAATACGCTACGGTCTATTGTAGAAATTAACAACCCATTGGAAGTTAATGCAATAAAACTTTATAATAAAATGAGCTTCTTCCCAAGGTCATATTAGGTTATTAGTGACAGTATAAGAAAATGAACTTCTATTAAACCTGTCAATATCTACAATTAGTACTTATTTACAATTGTAAAATAAATAATAATTTAGTCAATCTATAATGTATCACGGCTGGGAAATCCTAGATATTTTTTCGTATTTAGTAAACTAATAACTAGTTGGTAAATTAATCATGATATCTATCTGTTCTTTTTTTCGCCGGAGACAAAAATGATATTGCATATTTTTCGTAACTGCACATTCTGTGGATTTATTTCATTATTTTTAACAATATACGAACCTTAAGTGACTAAAATTAAATCTAATCTGAACCAGAATCATAAAAGCTGTATTATTCGTGCTAAAAGAATCTAATAAAGGTCTGTTATTTTTGTCTCCTGCGAAAAAAACAGACTATAGGAATCTATCGAATATCTACATAAACAAAATATCACCTATAAATAAAATATTACGAAGCGGAATAACTAATAAGAGTGGCAACGTCGCACCATACAAAGGAATTGCGTTAAGCAGGAGAATGAATTAAAAACTATGTATATTACGGGGATTCTGGATAATTTGTATTGTAATATGGAAGGGAGTCCTGATTGGTTTCCCTCCGTCTGGCAATATACGAATATTTGTATATCGACATATGGTAAATTTTCAAAGAAATGAGTTAAACACTATCTTTGAAATTGTTTAATGGACCAATATTCGCAGTCATAATGTATAAAAATTGCCTACAAGTTAGTACAATAATCGAAATGAAAGGACGTATTATTGTGATGTATATATATATATATATATATATATATATATATATATATATATATATATATATATATATATATATACATGTGTGTACAATTAAGTAATGAATACTATGACCCAAAATACTATAAATGTAAAGAACGAATGAAGTGATATTGATCATTGCCTTGATCATGTGTGTACGCGAGTCGTGTACGTGACAGAAATGACACAAATATTTAATGAATATGTAGCTAAAATCCTATCAAATAAAATTAAAAATAAATGATGATTAAAGTAATTATATTAAGTGTAAAACAAAGAGAATCTAATGAATATATCTAAAAAGGGTAAAAAAATGAAAATGAAAGAGTATTGTCCGAAATAGACAAGTTGCATAATGATGAACGTGATTTATTTTAAAATTTTAAACTGCCTTAATAACTTAGTGAAAGTGCACTACATCTATGATATGGAAAAAATATTTTATAGGGAAATATTATGTAAATGTATGTATAATATTAATAGGCTAATATGAAACTAAACGAATGTAATTTTTATTCATATTAAAAATAAATTTTATACCTATTATTATTTATTTAAAAAAGAAAGGTATTCATTTCTTTTTTATATTTTTATGCCGGTGGAGGTGTAGTGTAGCCCCCACGACATTATATTATGTAGATGTGTTAAGTGTATAATAAGGGACAGTATAATTAAAGTTTTAGTACCAACAACTCGTCTCCTTCATTGAAACCTTTCCTATTTTACAATATAGTGTTGTGCATGCATTCTGCTCTTTAAATTTTTGTTAGGGAACTGGGATAAATTGTGATGCTGGCATGAAATGTGGCGTACTACAAGTTGTAAAGTATGTCTCGGACAAGGAGCTCCGTATAGTCCTAATAGCACAAGACAAAAAAATTAAAACTTTAACATCTTTTATACAATAAGAATTATTAAAAATATTTTCATGATAATTGTGTTATCCAACTATATTTCGAAAAAGGGGCAAATAAACCAAAGGTGTAACCAAAAAATATATTTAAAAAAAAAACTTACATTTCCTGTGTACGCGCGTAATTAAGTTACAGTATGGTGTACAGGTGAACAATCAAAGGCAATAACAATTATATTTCTGCTTTACTATTCCTTGTAAACAATATGAAAAACTACATTCTGCACAAAAAAGTATAGTCTAAAACTAGCTGCTATACATTTTATATAAAATAATATAAAATCCCAAAATGTTTAATACTCTGTTACACAATTTACCATGAAAAACAAAATAATGTTAAATGGCGTAAAGAAATTTGTATTTTATGTTGAAATAAATAATAAAAAAGGAACTTGAGGCAGATAACGTATTTTAAAAAAAATAAATCAAATTAAAATTTTAAACCGTAAAAACTGGCTGTAAAAAGTTTTACGCCTCATTCCTGATGCGGCGCCGAAAATCTCATTCCACATTTTCACGCAATATTTTCCGTGATTTGAAATGCCATTTTCCGTGACCCACCTAATGCCATTCTGACCCACTTCTAATACAAAAATAAGACAGCAAGAAGATAAACAGCTAAACTCCATTACAAAATAAAAATGAAAAAACAAAGAAAAAATATAACATAGACGGAAATTATAATAATTTAATTAAACATTTTAGAATATTACCTGTGCATGTAAAATTTAAATACTTAATTGCAATAGATCAATTTAAATCTCTAGAGTTTAAAACATTTCGAATTTTTAACAAAAATATTAGAATTACTTCGCGAAAGAAATACGTTGAACATAGAGTTAATAAAATTATTACGGCAAGAGGACGAGAAAATATCTATTACCACGTATTTTCAATGATATGTTTTCTGAAAACGAATGTGGTAATAAAGAAATATTTAAAAATAAGTTGAAAGCGTGGTTGCTGGATAATTATATGTGTAATAATATTGTCTTAATTAAAGTTATAGTTTTCAATTAATTTGTTGTTTTAAATGTGTTCAATGAGTTTAAATACTAATAAGGTTACATATAATAATGTATGTAACAGTAGTAACAGCGCTTAGTTTTAATTAGTTTAAATCTTTTAAGTTAGTGTAAATTTAATTTCCTTATTTTTAAGTTTTTAAGGATTGCATTTTAAATTACAGTAGGTACAGTTTATATGTATTTTAAATTCTTAAGGAAAGTAGGTACATAAAATGTTAGAGGAGATGTATTTGCCAACAACCGACTGTATTTTTGTGTAATAAATTTAAAAGAAAATTGTAATTAAATTCGTTAATTAATACTATTGCTTCCTCAATCGAAGCCTTCAGAATTAAACGTAGCGTCCTCATCATAGTTACACTTTTCCTTCCACTCGTCAACCTCAAGCAGATACGGAGAAGTGATTGCATAAAACTTCTTGAGGTCGCACAGCGGTCCATCACATCCTTGAATCTCTAGGTACTGCACTTGTTCACCAGGAGATCTCACGTAAATTGGCTGAAAAAATAAATATGAGTTCATACTACTTGGCTTAAGGTAATCAACTTATTACAGAGCTAAATCCTTAAGGGGTAATATAATCTCAAATGGCTTAGCAAGATCCTTCGTTATGCCGAAAATATTGCAGCATTAATTTTGAAATCATAAAAATGAAATAAATATATGGTAAAGTTGAGGATTAATGTTAAGGATTATGTTAGACGAAAACACGATTTCGTAAAATTTTCTCGATATAAAAAAAATCCAAAGTTACCTCCAAAATAAACAATAAACCGCTGTTATTCATAAAATACTATAAGATCACGAAACTTGCATACTAACTGAACTAACTGTAAAGCAGTGCTTATGTTATTTACTTTTTTTAAAATACCATTATTTTCACTGTAAAAAGAAATTACCTAAACTATCGGCCTCTTGAAGCGTGATTCCTGCCGCCCGGCCCCGGTCACTTCGCTTCGGCTTTTGAAGCGGGAGGTTGTGTCGCTTACGATCAGAATATACATTACGCAACAGGACGACGTAAAATTAAAATGGGAAATAACCGTAATAAAAATAAGAAGCGACTGGCTTGGCGTTAAGAAACAGGCATAAATATGATAAACCTAATGAAATAAGTATCTAACGACCTTTCTACTTACGGTATTAGTGATTACAAACATGTCGGTACATAGCATACGACGCGCGGGCAAGTGGGGACGAAATTAGAATTTGAGCTGACTTACTCTATCCCCTTAATTCAAAGCAATGTATGGTGGCGTAAGAGAGTCCATCTACCCACTTCAAACGTGGATGTCGTTAGAGACGACTATGAAAATGCCATAAAGATCTTATGATTTCCGACAGGTTGCGGTATAACCATCTCATTTACGCCGAGTCAAAATTATTTATAACGGCGATGGGAAGCAGCGTTGAATTTGCTCGACGCCGTCATACAGCCTTACAAGTTCGCAGCTGAAAATAGGTTTCCCTAGAGAAATGCATCCACCTGTATCATACTGCATCTATCGATTTCCTGCATGTCTTATTTCATCTCGAGGGGGGCCGCCCTACACTATGCTTACCGTTACAAGGCCGCCACTCGAAAGCATTTCTTCCCCAACAGTGGTCGAGTCTTTGAGCTATATAAGCGCGGTCAATTTACATACCAACTTATTGACCCATTGGGCCACAACTTTATTATAAGCACTATAAATATAAATGTTACTTCTGCCGGCATAGTGCCAAGAACGCAGGCTTCATAATGGCACGTACAAGTTGCGGTATGTTTTAGATCGGATGCGGAAAACGACATCTAAGATGCAATTGATCTAAGGTTTATCAAGGATCCCTTTTCGGGGACACTCGGACATCCCCTCGTGTATATAATTGTGGTGTAGTGCTCCCACGTTAATATACTTTAGTGTTAAGGTAGAATAATGAGCAGTCTAATTAAAGTTTTAGTACCAACCACACGTCTCCTTCATTGACACCTTTCCTATTACATGGCGACCCTGTCAGGCGGTGCGCGTGCATTGTCGCAGCGCACCGCCGCGGCCTGCAATTTTTTTAATAAAATGGGAAAATAATTTAAAGAAATAATATAAAGAAAAAAAAATCAATTATTGAATTGACATACTACCGGATGTGACAAGAAAACCAAAAACTGATACGAGAAGTGGCCACAGTAATAATTTAAAGAAGTTAACTCAAAATTAAAATTGAAATATATGTAGTACTATGAAGACAATCAAACTATGAATATTATTAATTTATTAATTAGTAAACAAAGAATGAGGAAAATAAAATGTGGATTTCAAGATACGGCATATTAATTTAAAAAGGGAAAGAAGTAGTTGTATTCTAGCGGGCATCACCCAGAAGGATGTGAAAATTGAGCCGAAAAGAATAAAGAAGAATTTGAGAGGTAAATTCGCACCTGTGTGATTTTTAATTCCATTTAAAACTTTAATAATTTGAGATTTTTTAATGTTGTTTTTGCTTTAAAAAAATTTATGCATAAAATTTTCTGTATTTAAAATATGATTAAATTGAAAGTATTTATCAGATAATTCACGATTTATTTTTTTTTAAATATTTATATTACTGAAAAAATAAGCACAATGCAATAATTATAAATTAATCAATAATCTAGCACTTGATTTTTATATTCAATTTTATTCATTATAGTTTTATATTATTTTTATTACTGTGTCCTGCAAAATATGAATAAAATAATATGAAGATTACATTTTTAGGTATTTCCATTTACAATTGTTTACCATTAATTAATTTTTCCTATTTTGTAGTTAACATATCACTGATGATACATTTCGTGTGTGTTTTTTATGTAGTAAATTTTATTTAAATGTACACAAATTTGAAAAGAGTTATAACCGATTTGCTATTATTGTTTTTTTTTCTTTCTTTTCTAAAGGCATTAAATCATTAATTTATATAATAACCTACCTAAAATATTAAAAATTGTTCTTTATAATGTTTAAATAAATTAATCTGTCGTTGTGTGAAGTTTATAGCTGTTATAGTGACTTTTTTTAAAAGCATTTTTTATAGCAAATGTGTTTTTTTTTAAAAGCTAATGCATTTTGTGATGTATGTAAAAGTAACATAAATATTAACAATTTAACTATTTCTAAACTTCTGTGTAAATTGAGGAAATGTTTAAAACTATCCTTTTAAGGTACATTTTACTTGCATTCATATTATAAAATATTGTAAATTTATAAAATTAGACGTGAATCACACCGTGTCATCCTAGTCCGATGTAATTACAAACGATGCCTTATACGTACTTTGGAATTTAAAACAAACTTGTCTTCAAATATTTGCGGTGTTTGGATTACAATTTGTATTTTGATCTGTGTGTTGTGTATATTAATTATAATGATTACGTTGCTTAACATTGACTTCTTTGTTCTGTTTATCTTAATGTGAAATGTAATAATTTATTTTCGGTTTTATATTGTTTGAATATTTAAAACATAAGCTTTTAACTATTATACAATTTATTATTTTCTTGGAAAACAGTACAAATTTAAGTAGATTATGAAAGTGTTTTCTTCGGATAATACGATTTTGAAACTCACTACATATATAATGTTTTACACAACTAATTGATTTAAAGTTTGGTGTTCCCATATTGTGAACCTCAATCCCTGACTGACACTTTAACTAAATATTATACGAGATTATTTTATGATATAAAGTAAAAGATGTGATTAAATGTATGGTTAAGTTACGGAATACATAATTATAAATGAAAATATTGATAATGTATAGTTGCGAGAGTAAGATAAAGAAAATTATCGGAGGTTAGTATATCCACATACAACCAGCCTGATCAGCTGCAGAGAGTTTGGAAAACCTAATAGCCGATTAATTTTTTAAGGTTGTTCGGACATATTGAGTTATAATGTACTAGTACGTAGTACATTATAACTCAATGTTCGGACACGATTAAATGCGGAATAGGTTTTAATGTATTTTAATGAGGGAAATGATAATTTATTATGAATTGTATAGGAATATTGTCCACTATCTTGATAATGTATGTACGCAAGCCGTGTACGTGAAAGTTATGGTACAATTAAATAATGAATTACATGAGCTGAAATGTAAAGAAGTGAATTAAATGATATTGGTAATTTTCTTGATCATGTATATACAGAAATGACATACATGTGTAATGAATAGCTAAAGTACTAGTTATTGATAAAATAGTAAAATAAATAAGTAATGGTTAACTAAGAATGAAGTAAATATATGAAAAAAGAAGAATAAAATAAAATATTGAAATGTAAAAGATTATGAAGATTAAGAGAAAATTATATATAATACTAGCTACTAGCCAGGCAGACGTTGTTCTGCTCTTTTCGACGACCCTTTGTCATAGCCTATTAAAAATCCTTAGATTTGCAAAAAATATGTAGGTCACTCATGGTCAAAAAAACTATCCTATCTCTCAAGCTGGACCAAACTGCGCACGGTGTGCGAATTTTATTAAAATCGGTTGAGTAGTTTAGGAGAGTGTTGAACCCATCGCGGACAAACTACGTGACACGTAATTTATATATATTATCATTATTGTGCTGACTGGATAAATGGTAGGCATAATAACAAAATGATTAAGGATACGAATAAATAATATTGTAAATTTTCGTGAAAATCTAAACATAATTTTATGTTACACATAATTATGCCTGATTATATCAATTATACTACTACTGTGACTATGCATTTTTGCGTGCTAGATATGTCTTAGATTATAGTTTTCATAATGATATTAACCTTTTTTTAGAATAATCTTAAGGATCTATTTTAAGAATTGATAAAAAAATATAGATAGCATATTCTTTTGTCGGTGGGAGGTGTAGTGTAGTGTGGGAGCACTCACTACCCACTCACGTTAATATACTTTAGTGTTAAGGTAGAATAATGAGGTAGTCTAATTAAAGTTTTAGTACCAACCACACGTCTCCTTCATTAACACCTTTCCTATATTACACAATATAAATATCTTCCAGAACAAATTTCTATCATGGCAGCCAGTCTCAACGGAAAATAGAAATCTACGCAGGACAGAATTATAGTTCCCAAGTGCATGCGCAAACACAGATGCACTCTTTTCCCTCATTCTCACAGTCCGATTAGACGATAATCTGACACGACCGGAGAGAGATCAGGCATATATATGTGAAGATATTCTCAACAAAACAAAACACTTACCAAAACGACATATCTTCCCGTTTCCACCATTCTCCTTAATTCCAGTGCAAATAACCCAGCATACGGCGGTATGCCCTGTGTAGGTACTGCTTTGGATATCGCCGCGAAGGCATAAACGTTGTGGTCGTGTGCGGAGTAAATCCTCACTGTTTGAGTGGGCTCTCCAGCAGCTGCTGATGCGGATACTTCGAAGAATTCTTTTAAAAGTAAACCTGTAGATTTAAACATCTGTTGATTTTTTATTCATTCCTTCATTACAACCATCATACGTCTCATTGGTCTAATGGTCGTCATTCTGAAATTGTTCACCACCGGCAAATCATCCGGACCAAAACGACTTCGGACCTTCAAAGAACGATCTTACTTCCTTTTAAAAGGATGACAACGCACCTGTTATTTCTCTGGTGTCGAAGTTGTTCATGGGCAGTCATCGACACTTATTATCAAGTGAGTCGCATGCTCGTTTGCTGCCTGTTCCCTCTTTCTCTTTGGTCTCTGGTTCAAATCCCAAAATCAGGCCAAAATCAGTTATTGGTTTTTTTTGTCAAGAAATCCTCAGCAGGAGCTCGGAGTTACGAAGTTGATGGTGTCTCACCCTCACTTTGGAAAGCACGTAAAGCAGTCGGCCACTATAATCCTCTCCTGCACGGATAGCTAGTCTCGTTTATATTTTATATAAACTGGCTGCCGTGATCGGATAGATTTGGTCTGGAGGACTTTATTATAATTACAGCTCATTACAAGGCCACCGCTGAACAAAGGCCTCCTCCATTATTTACCTCACAGGTGGAATATTTTTCATAATTGCCATGGTCTACAAGCGGGTTTGCAACCACTGCTAGTATGCTATGTTGGTAACAATCTTTTCTTTTTACTGTCAGGTATTTTACCATTTGGTACAGAGTAGTGCCAATTTTTTTTAACTCACCAGCTTGTAATGGCAGCATGGTATCGTTAGCATTTAATATATCAAATGCTTTGTCAGCTGCCTCTTTTATATCCGGCATCATTGTCTGTATTGATGGTTTGACAGAAATACCCATATTTGTCTGAAATATTGTTGGTACTTTTAATAATTTATACTTTATAATATAATTGTAAATAAACATTAAGTCTCACGTCTTATTACCCATAGGGGTAAGCAGAGACTACGGATTTAACTTTAACTTCGGCTAGCGCCGACGTCGTCTTCTATTTTTATGAAATTTGGGTGTCAAACGAGCACACAGTCCATCTGATAGACATCTACATATATCCCCAATTAAAAATCAAAATGCGATACGTTAGCACCCTTAAGGACTTAGATGGAATGCCTCGTTACCAATAAAAAGGAGTCTCCAGTTCTTTACACTCACCATACGATACACAGCAGCATTAATTTATTCATCTAATTTATTAAATAGTCGCTTCTTAGTGAAACTCTCGCACGAAAGGTTTTTACCGCGACATTGTTGAACTCAATATTAAATGTCATTTAAATGGTAGACAAAGTTATGCCATGTTCAATGTTCAAATGCCTTTCAATGGAATTGTTTCAAATTCTTGATTCGTCTAAAATCACCTTTACTGATATACTTTTTTTATTTTTCTACTGTTCTAAAACTGAACTTGACTAACCACCTGATCGTAATTGGTGATGAAGCCGAAGATGGTGAAGCACACTGACTCAACAAAAGCTTCTTACCTTGATGAAATCTACATTGTAATCAAGGCAGATGCTGGCGACAATTGCAATCGGATGGAAAGGCAGATGCTGGCAACAAGTTATTACATTCTTTTGCCGTACGGATGTCGAACAATGGCGATATTCTTTAAATCTGCTATCGTCTCTAAATGTGGTTCTCTGAGAATAAACAGTATCCCTTCGCGGGTATCCTCCCCTTTATTGACTATTTTCTATTGGCTGTGTGATTCGTCGGACTACGACGGCTACTAAACCGCTATCGCTAGTAACAATGAAATTGTTAATTGCAATTTTAGTATTGATTAACCCCGTTTTCGGCGATGAAGGTGAGGAACAGATAAGGTAAAGAGAAAAGAAAGAAAAGTAAGGAAGAAAGAATTTGAGGAGAAACGACGTTTGACGAACGAAATGTAATCGAAATTTGTCATAAAGATTTTTTTAATAAAATTCACATGACAAACGTACTTATCGACTTAACATTAAAGAAAAATGGCTAAAAATGTGTTGTCACCTTTGAGGCCTAAGATTAAATCACTTTCCTTTTATCGGGGTTGTCAGGCGTGTTGCTATGTATGTTGTTACGTGGTAGAGACACGCAACAGTTATGTTATGTTGGTAGGTTGTAGTAGAAATGAATCGGCTCGGGTGGTGAAGAACACGATCTCACAGAACACCAGCGTAAAATAGCAGCTTGATGCTGCTGTGTTTCGTATGGTAAGTGTAGAGATCTGGAGAACCCTTTTACTAGAAACGTTGCATTCCATCTTGGTCCTAGAAGTTGGATGTTGATGTCTATGGAGCACAGCATCCACTGACCATCAAGGGAATCATGTGTTCGTAAGTCACCCTTATTATATATAAATATATAAAAATGTTTTAACACTCGTTATTTAGATATTTACTGACACCACGCTGCATCTACAAAGATTGAGATGAATGGATTAGTGAGTTCAATTTATCAGTCAGAATTCTTACCTGGCTAACGAACAAGTCATATGCGTAGAATATTTTAACTGGGTTACTTTTTAAGATGTCTTGTTTCAGCGCTGTAGAAAGCCGATCCAATACGTCACTATATTTTGCCATTTCGGGGACATAAGTATTTACTAATATTTTATGATACTCGTCCAACTTTGGACAGTTAAAGCCCATGAGCTGAAAATGTGTTTGAAAATATATCATTAAAGAAGTAAAAACATTTTTAATACGAGACATGGGAATCGTGTCGAATAATTAAAATACATCATGGTATAGCTTGACCATGTTGTGGCAGTGTTAAAATATCCACTAACCCATATCGTCTCGTGAGTATCAGAAAGAAAGGAACCAGGCAATACGCAGGAATTTCTTCCCAATAACAAAGAAAAATTGTAAAATTTCGGTTTTCAACCCGCTTGCAAAGCGTGGCAACTCTGGCACATATCCCCCAGTAAGGCAATTTATGGGGAGGCCTATGTTCAGCTGCGTATTACGACTGCAGTATAAATGGGTTAGCTTCACAGGGAAGAACCACATTCGCGCAGAAAAACAACGTTGGCACTTTTTCAGATCAATGATCACTGAGCTGTAAGTTACAGCTCAGTGATCATTGATCTGAAAAAGTAATATTACGCAGTAATATATAGGTCAATAATCGTGCTGCTGTGTTTTATATGATGAGTGACAAGATAGAGGACCCTTTTTACAGGTAACGACGCATTTCATCTGTGTACTCTGTGAAACATCTACATTTTAGTTAAATGGAATAACATATAACAAAGATTAGAGTTATATCATTGTTGTCAATGTTTTTTATAGAATAGTGGGCAAACCAGTGGTCCACCTGATGATAACGGACTACCGCCGCCCTTGAACAACAACACCAGAGGAATTGCAGTTTCGTTGCCGGCCTTTAATATATACTATAACAACTTTTTGATAAAAACTCTTCTTTACATTAATATTGTTTTTTTTTTTGGTTTCTTTTCATGAAATTGAAGTTACAAAATAACTAACGCCTGCAACCAAATTACGAAAAAGGCTAGAGTAGAGATGAGCTGACACTTCCGAGAACTTAGATGTAATGCCATTTATTGCAGCTTCTATAAGTCTACTTCTGTCTAAGATTGCCTCTTGGAGGGTATTTTGTCATGGTTGCCACAGTGGCAAATGAGTTGGCAACCACAGTTTTTATAAGTTTGAATTGTAATCAGGAAATTGCTGCTACCCATTTCCGTTTTCAATTTCCCTCTATCGCCTAGTACGACACCCATGGGATTATATGGGGTAGTAGATTATATGCCCTATCATGGTACCGCAAGACAGATAATATGTAATGTACAGCTCGCTCTATCACACACATTGATTTTATATTGCGATTTTATTAATCTACCCTACAGATTTTTTTAAATACATATGCAATATACGTATTCAATACATAAATACAATATACAAATTAAGTTTATTGAAAAATTATGTACTTACAGATGCTCATTCTGTATCGAATATAGATTTCACATTTCGCGTTATAATTAATCTACCCTACAAGTTATTTAAATGAAAAAACTACATATATTACAATCGCCAAAAATTACATAACTTTATGAGTGTTAAGTAAGTTTACACATTTTGCTAATAATAAAATTAGGAAGTTTCACTTAAAAAATAATTTTAAACTTTTTAATTTGAAGATGCGGCTCACTAAAACAGCAAGAAAAATTCACAATGACATGAGGTGTATAGTGTTGCCAGTAAAAATCTTATTTTTCCCCGGAAGGTTAAAACTCGTGTAATTTGGTCCGTCAATTCATGACTATATAGTATATAGTATACAAACACAGAGGAGGCGTCAACGAATATAGGCCTTAAAATATATTTATTCCCTAAAACATCCAGGTTTCCTTACAATGATGTTATTTACGTGATCTTTTTCACGTGGTAAAATAACTTTTTTTTGTATGGTTGTTGTAGGATGAATTGTTCAGCTCGATCGGGAAGGTCTCTTCTCTCACAAAATACCAGCATAAAAGAGCAACGAAAATTTCATAATTTCTCAGCCGAAAAAAATTATAACTAAACTTATCAAAATTGAACAACCATTTACATTCCATGGATTCCCACATGATAGATGAAGAGATTTAAAAAATAAAATGAGTTGCACAATCGATATTTTTAAAAGTTATCGTGTTTACTCCTCCATACGTATTTGATAAATCTACACCATAAGAATCTGCATATTGATTCTTACTCGAAGAAAAATGTCATGGGCTACACCATCCACTTGTCATTAGGTTAACTCTGTGCTCATTTCTCACCCTTATATTATAAAAAACAAAAATTCTCACGTACTGTGGAATTTAAGGTGAGGGCTTAGCACCCGAGCAAAGTTCTACAAAGCGAATTACTATATGTAACTTACGAAGTCATAACGCAATGGTACAGTGGTGTACGGTACTGGAACCCAGTTGATATCTTCACTCCAGCCACGGCCATCAGGGCGATAAACAGCTGCCATCGCCACTAGTACCGTCATCTTAGCGCGAATGGAGTCGGTAGACCGGATGTAAATTTCTGAGTGGTTATATTTAGGCGAAAGGTAATTGTTATATCTACTTCTTATGAATTTTCCCAGTTCGTAGGCTCGACGTTTTCCAAGCTAAAAGAAGGCATATTTTAAGTTAAATATTGAAGTGCATTTACAGCTTAAATATCCCAGCAAAAATATCCCAATGCTGGGCACAGGCCTCCTCTTATTTTTGAGAGGGTTTCATGTTAAGGAAATGTCCGCCCCGCTGTCCCAGTGCATGGTGGCGACCTTGAAATGTCTTCGAATCTATTTTTTATTCCTTAGACATGCAGATTTCATCAAGATGTTTTACCGTCGTCGAGCACGTGGTAGTTTTTAAGTGTTCACATCGCATAGACTGCAGGGCAGAAGAGGAATACCATCTAGTACTTAGGGACGGTTGTTTTCTTTTAAATTTAATATTCTATTGTGCATTTCTTATTTTAAAAGAATCCAAAGAGCGGACTTAATGGCATTATGCATTCTCTACCACACATACCTCTTTTGACACATGCATTTTAAAAATCGGAAAAAATATTATTTTACTTTCGTACGTGTATAATCGGTGTGTAATCGGTACGCACGTTTTTATATTTTTTAGAGTTTGTTTATGAGCTGGAATAGAGTGATATAGGTTACATTTTATATCGAAAAATGTACAGTTTCTGCGGGATAGATATGTCGAGTAATTTCCTGTAATCGCCCTTTTTATGAACGGTTAGTTATATGTATGTAGGTTGAATGGTTAGAGGCACACTGAACCTAGACGTTAAGTTGGAGAGATCTCGGCTAATGAAGTCAACGCTCCGTCCTGCTCATGCGCTAATCCAGGGTCCCAAAAACTTACAGCTTGAATTACAAAACCGTTTCCATTGCCTTTAAGATTGCAATACAGTAGATAATATAAATGAAAAGCCTTCCAGGTGGACTGTGACTCTTTGGAGATGTAGCGTCGCTCTCGTATAATATTACAACTTTGTTTTTCTAAAAACGTAATACCTAGATTCAAACTAATTTTACGGATATTGTCGCATTTATTTATGTTAGTTTTAATACCCGACGTTTCCCAAGGTCACGGGGGACAATATAAGAAATCATAACATTATACCTAATAATAGTTTATCTTCTGTGTCGTGGAGGCGTTTTACATACAGAAATTGCGCAAGAACACACATCTAGACTCGTAACAAATATGTGTAGGCAATAAAATTATTTATCCCGCGTGGGATTAGAACCCAGGGCTTTACCAAACGCTTAGCCACTGCGCTACCAAGCTGCCAAGAACAACTAAAAATGAAATTGTAAAGTAAAATGACCAATTAGGATATTGATAAGGGGCGGGACTGCGAAGCTCAAACAGACTTGTATAATTGTCGCTCATAGCATAAGCATTGTCGACTAAGTTAGATTCATCTTCATGATTACAGCCCTTCACAATTCCAACGCCAAACAAAAGCCTACCTCAAGCTTATTCTATCTGCACCCATCAACTTAACTCATTTCTTACAAGGTCGTTTCTTCATCTTATGGAGGTCCATCCTACACTTCGCTTATCGGTACGAGACTGCCACTCCAGAACCTTTCTTCCTAACTGATTGTCGGTTTTTCGAGCTATATGATTGGCACTTTTTACAGCTTAATTTTTCAGATTAGTCAATTGAAATATTAATTATTTAAGTAGTGTTGCTATTCTTATAGTATTTTTTATCTTACGTCAGTTAGTTGGCCGTATCCGAGCGGTGCTATTATTTTATCCAGTAATTCAGGCCTATCGCTTAGGTACTGGTACTCTTGCACAGGTGTTCTATCACCGTGTCGATGTACCTGGAACAGAAGAATATTTAAGTACTACTCCAAATTCGCCGCCCTCGTCAAATCATGGAATACAAACGAACATAGAGCTCTTCTAAGTTGCAATACGGATGGTATATATATAGCTGTAAATGAAATTTATCAATGCCATGGATGTTCTGAATAAAATAAATAATAATAAAGTAGAGAAAGATTATAGGAAGAGATATTTGATATTAAACTGCTTTGAGTGGCACACAAATAAAATGTAAATGTTTCTGCAAATACTACTATTGTCATAGCAAATGTGATAGATATGTAATTAATTTGGCCATAGATTTTTTTTTCAAAATCTAGCCAAGTTGGGAAAATTTATTTTACAACATTAGAGGGCCTTGTGGATATTTACAGGCTGATAAAGAAGAAGAAGACTAAAATTAAGGAGTAAAAATAAGGTTAATGTAAGTTTAAGTTTAAGAACGGTGGTAGCTCTGGGGCTTAGAATTTGGCATAAATATTAGAGAAAGCAAGCAACTCTAGTTCGATCCCCGTCGGCACTAATGAAATTGTTAATTTCGATTTTACGCGTTGATTTACCACGGCTTTAGTGGTAAAGGAAAAAAATCGCGAGGAAATCAGCGTTAATTAAAAAGAATATTTCGAATTTTGAAGATATGTGAAGTACACCAACATGCACTGGTGCATCACGGTCTGCACTACGTCGATCTAAAACTCTTTCAGAAATGATAGGAGGCTTACAAACAGGTGTTCTTCTTAGTTTTCTTTGGTGAATCGTATTTGTAGCTTTGCACTGCACATTTCACCATCGTAGCTTAAAATTCAAATAAATACCGTCGTAATAAATAATTTACGCGCGTAATCTTTCGTGACTAATAACGTCACCCTTGCCCAAAGAGATTTAAATATATATACTACTACCTATTTAAATGTCTTTGCCCTTGTCATTTTGAGAATGTTCACGCCCGTGCTTACTGTTCCGACTAACAAACGCGCGCTCTATAGCTTGCTAATAAATATAATAAATACTCTAAGGTAATCTGTGATAAAATCACTTCGTTTTATCCACACTCTTTCTAAATTCTTATTTGTTTTTGTTTCTTAATCTAAATTATATTCTAGATATTGGCAATCGTCTAGACTTAACTTAATTATTGTACTTTACATAATATATATGCTGTACCTTTAACCATACTTTTAAACTTACTACTGTTTAGTAAAGTTGTTTCTAAGTCAACAGAGGAAAATCACAAATTCTTACCAGGAAAGTAAACACTAGCTCCGTTCCGTTCAATACATCAAGACTACTTGCTAGACTTGCATATAGATAAAACGAAATTAACACCACGTTAAGAAGTAACATTTTATTTGCTGTAATATAACGATAACTAAACCAATACAAAAATATTTTAAAAAAGACTTCTCTCAAGCAATTTCAAAATTAAAATAAACCATGTAAGAGTTTGTTTAAAAGCAATAGCGAAGTAATAAAAATTATCTTTACGTTGTAACGTCTATTTTGTAAATGATGGTAAGTTAAAACGTTTTATAATTTAACACCCGAAATAAATGATGAATGATATGCCTACTTAATAATTTATTATTATAAAACCAAAATTGTTTGTTGGTATGTATTTTATTAACGCAGCGACGGAGAAGCGGATTGGCATGATTTTTTCCATAAAAATATTTGGATTCTATTAATTATTTGGAGATAACGGTCATGCTTTTTCAGAAGCTGTATCTGAATTTGGCTTCCCAGTTCTGCAGATGCTTATCCTTAGTGCATTCAGATTTTGCAACTGCACCCGCTGAACATCTCAAAGCTGGGGGGAAATATTATAAAGACCACTATTTTGACTGCACCAGCTAAAGAAGTTTCGTTCAGTGTGCCTCTCACGATCACCGAGACATCACTGAACTGTTGCCGTCTAGGCGTCATAATGAAGTCAACCCTATTTTTTGTCGAACTAACTGGGCCGAGAAAGAGTCCATCATAAAGAATCCCTTCTTTTTCCATGAATTCGGCCGGCCGTTGGCCCCTTGTTCTCCGTTGTCCTATCATGAATTTCCATTCAGCTCACCGTTATCTACCCGGTTTTGGAGGAATGCATAGTACTAGAGATATCCTCTTACATTTCCGCCACCTTCTCATAGGGACGTACTGAGGTTTATGCGTAAGCCTGTATGACCTTCAGCGAATACCGTTTGGTTGATTTAAGTATACGAGTAAGACACGCAACCCTCGTTAAAACACGCCCAATCTTTACGACGTTGTCAACGAGAGACTTGTGGACGATAAATCTGATACCTCCAAATGACAGAATTGTCGCCCTCCCGGTGATAAAACAAGTTGCTGGATTAGAGGATAACCTGTTTCTATTCCTCTTTGGACTCAGATAATCCTATAATATCCCAGCGCAACTTGTCCAGCTCTTCCTCCTGCTGTCTTCAAGGTTTGTGTTTTACTTGTTGCCAGATCGAGTCTTCTTAGGTGGCAACCGAACCTCTATCAGAGATTCTTAGCACCCCCTGCCCCGCCTTTACCTTTTTAGCCCCAGTGGCCCGAAAAAGCGAGGCTACCATAGACTATGCACAGACTCTTTGTAATGGTCTGTGCATGACAAGCTCGTGGAAACTGTCCATGTGGTCGGAACTAAGTACTGTAAGACCCACCGCAGAAGAACACAAAAACTCTCCGATCACATTCTTAAGAATTGATAAAATAAGATTAATCTTATGGCTGTTAGACGGGAAATGAAGCTGCAGTCTTCAAAAGATCTGACAGCATACAGGCAACTGAACGGACAAATCTACAAATACATGCGGCGAAACTTATGCAACTTCAATACAACTCGTATTGAAGAAGCGATTGAGCGGAACCAGGACTCCAAAATCTTGCCAGAGATCTGTCTGCCAGAAAAAGCCAACTGTCGAAGCTGAAGACCTAATGTGGCAGCATCGTTTCCGGGACACCAGACATTCTGAGTGTGATTGAGAGAAGAGTAACGATACAAGAGCAAGTCTTATCCGACACTATTCCGATGATATCCCGGACGTCAGTCTGAGCAAGATTAGAACGACTCTCCAGCACCTTAAAAATGGCAAGTCTCCGGGCGAGAATGAAATTACAGTGGAGCTTCTGAAAGCGGATGAAAATTTAGTAAGGTAAAGGCACCTATTTCCGAAGGGTTCTAAAATTGGTTCACGTAAGTATCATGTCTTTTTAAATAGTGATTTTTTGCTTATATTTGTATCATATTTGTAATTTTTTGAGTTAATCTATTTCACGCATTGTAGTTTAATGGACAATACTAAACTTATTTATGATTTCTGAATGAATCAAGGTGAAAATACGTGTTGAAAATAACGCGACATTAAGTGCCAAGCATTTCAGCTGGTTCCTTTTTCCGATTTATACCGCGGAATAGCGATTTCAAATTCTTGATTTCTTTTTTAATTTTCAGGTTTGTTTTTATGATTAGCCTTTCCCGCCTTGGATTTGACAATTTAAAAATACTACAAATATTAACATCTATTTCTGAGGTATACTTTTGCGTTTCATTCACTAATTATAGCATGTCAAATGTAATATTAAGGTATTTTGTTAATGCATTGTATGGAAAAACTAGATGAAAAATTTAAGATCTTACAAAATACGAGGTAATTTTTACTAAGAACCATATTATATTAAAGATGATTTTCCAATTAAGTATTTATCTATTTATAAATTGTACAAAAATCTTGCATTTTGTAGTACTCGGAATTAAGAAACGAGATTTTTTTGTAAGAAACGCTATTCTGATACTATGAGTACTTTATTCCGCGGCATAAACACACGCAAAATACAGAGTGTTCACAATTTTATGCAGCTTGCTATACACTTTTCGTTAGTTTCAATAGTAGGTTCCTATTTCCTTTATAATAACTTTCTTAATCTAAATTCTATCATTTTACACAATATCTTGCTTTAGAAAGAGCCACATACTGTTGTAATACTACTGTAATAATACGACGAGTATTAAAATAAATAAAATTGATTACCTAGGTATATATAATATTTTTCCAAAATAAAAAACCCATAAAATAACACTCGACAAAAATAACTTTTTTAACCTTCACCCAGCATTAAAATGCTAAATTACAGACCATACCTAGGTTACATATTAGAAATGAAAAAAAACTTGCTTCCATTTAATAGGCAATTAAACAAATAATTAACACAAAGTAATTTTTGCTATATGGAAGAAAATCTACAAAATTGGAATACTCTACAATAACTAGAAGAACCAGAGTAACTGACGTAGCCCGACGAATTAGTAAGCTGAAGAACAATGGACCGAACATACAGCTCGAAGAACCGACAACCGATGGGGTAGAAAGGTTCTCAAGTGGCAATCTCGTACCAGCATATGAGGGCGCTCCCTCGCTAGATGGAGTGACGTGGCCTGGTAAGACATTCAGGTAGACAATTGATACAGATGGCTCAGGATCGTGTTTTGTGGCATTCCTTGGGGGAGGCCTATGTTCAGCAGGGGACTTGTTAAGCGCTGTAATGAATGAATGAATGAGCTAAAGGAGTGTGGTTTGAATGTCCTCATTCCAATTATTTCAAAAAAGTTACAGTTCTCGCAATAGTTCTCATTTACTGTAATATATTTACTGTAATATATTTACTATAATATATTATAACTATGAATAAATCCGAGGGTGAGATTTTAAAAGTGCCGGGTATTCTTTTGGACCTTCCGTGCTTTTCGCAGGGTAAGTAATCTTCGAAAGTATCTATCGCGTAAAACTAGCATATCTTTGTGCAAAGGATGGGTAACATTACATAGCTTCACGCCTGTTATCCATATGAGGGTAGGCAGAGTCTAAAGAACAGATCAGACCTCGTTTAGCAAAAAAAAAGTTTAATTGGCAAACTATTTTTTTTATTTTTACTTTATTGCATAAACTTACGGACTTAACGCCTTAAGGCGTTCTATTCTCTACCAATCAACATATCTATTTTCGTATCTATTTTTCTCTAATTTAATTCCTCTTTGTCTTTTTTGTGGAGTCGGTAGCCATCAGAGATTTTTTCGGACCAATACAACTTAGGGACCTTAAAAGAAGAGACTATTGCTTTTTATAAAGCTGGCAACGACCCTGAAATTCCCGCGTAGTCACTTGACATCGGGTGAGCCGCTGTTTGCCCCCCCCCTCCTATAAAAAAGCATTGGACGATAAATAAGGATGTGTGTGATAAAGCAGACATGGGTTCTGATTTTTGAAACGAAGTCGTTTTATGAATTTAGCGCGGACGGACCCGCGTGCAAAAGTTAGTAATATAATATAATCTGATATTCTTGTTTACATTTGCTACCAAATGTCGTATTTCAAAATTCGACTTCATTTTTGTTAAGTTTTTAAAATATTCTCATTCTCAACGAGTTTCTCGTGACCTAACTAGTTCGTATACTCATAATGAATATGCAATTGACCGGATCTCAAGATCGGGCAGAGTAAGCATATATTTTAATATCATTAGCTAATCCACACTGTCAAGCTTTAGGAAACGTTCAAGAACGTGCGAAAAAAACTGTTCACAAGATCTTGAAAACAGAGGCGTACCGAGTGGCTTTGTGGCAAGCACACACTGATTTATTAGTTTGCTGAGTATGCCCCGGTAGTTTTTTTTAACTACTATGACTACTGACTTAGGTTAACAAAAGCCTATTTAAGTTTGTCTATTCAAAAGTCTCTAGTAGTCGTAAGTATGACTACCGATCATGTATTCCCGGGTTTGATCCCCGGTACGGACAAAAAACTTAATGACGAACTCTTTCTTCCAGAAGCGATTCCACAGGAAGTGAGCCCCGACGGTTCGACTAAAAATTAGATTGACTTAATTATGATGACAAGACGGCAACAATTCATTGATGTCTCAATGATCGCAAGGGTGAAAAGTGGCAACAATCACCGAATGGTAAGACGCACACTGAACCTAAACCTTAAGTTGGAGAGGTCTCGTCTAATTAAGTCAACGTTCTATCCCCCTTGTGCTCCAATTCAATGTCCCGAAACCTTTCAGCTCGAGTTACGAAACCGTTCTAAGTGTCAAGAAGATTGCAATGCAGACGATATGAACGATAAGCTCGTGGAAACTGTCCATGCGATCGGATCTAAGTTCTGCAATACCCATCGCAGAAGAACACTAAAACTCTCCGATCACACTCTTAATCTCATAGCTGTTAAATGGGAGATGAAGCTGTAGTTTTCAGCAGATTTGACAGAGTACATGCAACTGAACAGACTGAACTCCAAACTCATGCGCCGAGACTTAGGCAACTTCAATACTGCACGTATTGAAAAGCGATC